AATGCCATGAAACATTTCCTGTTTGGACTAGAGCAGATAGTTTACAGTCTCCTCCCTTCCCCATTTTTTGACCAATGCTAGTGGTTATAGCCAGCTCATACCTAATTTACAATGATATCTTCCATGAAAGAAGCAGTGAAATGAAACACATTAGTCAATGTGTGATGGTCCTTTTTCAGTTTCAGGAGGAATCGTTTCCATACCCACATTCCCTGCCTGCCTGCCTGCGTGCCTGCCTGCCTGTTAGGTTTACCGTAGGCCTGTCTACACGTGAGCACTTCTCTACAGCTCTTCAGTGCAGTCATTCCCACTCTGGTAGTGGAAAGTGCTCTCTTGACAATATAGAAAATCCACCTGCCAGAGGGGCAGTAGCTAGGTTGATGTCAGAATATGTCCATGAACCTGACACTGTCTACACCAGAGGTTGGGTTGGCTATCCTCCATGTTTGCCATTTGAATTTTTCATAGCCCTCAGGCACCACTCTGAATTGACTTACAATTTCATTGCAGATGTGTTGGGAAGGCTGATATTCTTGGGCACAATTGGATAGCAACGTGGAGAACAATTTTCAAATTAAACAAACGGGAGCAGTACAACACAGATGTGGGATGCAGTCCTGTGTGCTGTTTCCAATCCCACAGAATGTCAGCACAGAAGGGAGCATTTTAGCCCTAAATGTTTCCTCTTTCCATTGTAAAAGACTTGTGCACATTTGAAGAATTTCAAGGGAAAAACAAGAGACTTACCTATTCTCCTTTGCAGGATTACTGTGAAAAAACAAATACATGATTTATATTATTGATGGACATGTTTGTTATGGAAGAGCTAAGAAGTTACATGATTTGTAAATTGTGTTTCCAGGTCTGGACGCAGACACGTCTTCCATCAGCAGACATGTAATATGCAGCTGTAAATCTCCTTCGAAGCTGTGTGAGGGCAGCATAGTCTAACAAAAGGTGAGTGATAATGTTTGATGGGTGTCATAACAAGAATTTGGGAAGTGGTCAAGGACTGCAGTTTCTTTGGATTAATGGAGGAGGAGCAGAGTCTGGGATGGAAGCTGAGTGCAGAATGGAGCTTGCAGTAAGGGATTGGAGAAAGGGTTTTGGAGAGGAGGGAGTTTTCGTAAAGGAGGGGGTTGCGAGCTAGAGCAGGAGACTGAAGGTGCAAGGAGGTATAGGATAAGGAGTAAATGTAGGTACAGAAGAGGATTTTGTCCTGGAGGAGCGATGTAGGAAGATGCGAAAAGTCTGGGACAGGATTGTGACGTGTGGCTGGAATGCAGGATTTGGGTCGTGAGTGGGAGTAAAAGGTTCAGTTGTGAGGATAGGAGGAGGTTTAGAGCTAGAGGACAGGTTCAGGATAGGTGTAGGTGCAAGAGAGGGGCAGAGGGCTGGGTGAAGGGGAGAGAAGCAGGCTCTAGTTGAGAGGCACTAACTTGGGTGGCTCCTGAGCACAGCCCAGCCTCACAGCTTCTGCAGCCAGGCAGGGACCATGCCCTCTCTGAATGCTGTGAGCTCAGAAGGAGGGAGGAGGGTTCATTTACAGACTGCCTCTCCTGCAACTGACCACTGGAACTGAAACTTTGTGCTGGTGGCAGCTACAGTATATGAAGCCCCCCTCTCTTCTGATCTTGCAGAATTCAGATAGATGCTCCAAGCAGCAAGCAGGTGCAGAGTAGGCAGGGATCTGGGTTGAGGATCCCGCCTTGACTGAAGGCTGGATCAGGTGCTTTGGCAGGCTGGATCTGTCCTGCAGGCTGTATTTTGCCTACCCTGGCCAAAAACTACAGGGTAAATGGAATCCTTTCTTTTGTCAGTACCAATGATATGGGCCTTAAGTAATGTCAGGCACAGAGCCTTTACCAACTGTTCTAGTTGTCATCTAGACACGTTGCATATTCCCATTGAGGGCAGAAAAAGGAGATATTTTGGAGAATAGCTCATTGGAAGCCCTGATTATCTGCAAAATTTGGTGAGACTGTCCCTTTCCCATATTAAATGTAATTAGATCAGGCTTCAAACATCATTGCCGTATCCGCTAATTCATTCATGTTTACCAGTCACAACAGCATGCAGAGCAGAGTTACCATGTACTGGGCACAATGCCTTTTGAGCTAGAAAATCATCACTTGCATATTTTAAAAACAAAAAATATAGTTAAATGTTCTGTCATTACTGTCTACACTGGACTCAAACAGAGGAATGAAACTGGCGAGAAATCAAAGCATGTTTACTCAGTAAACAATGCAAAATTAAGCTATACAATATTTTGTTGTTTAAAAATCCTCCTTCAAAAAGATTAGATGGACAAGGAAAATCTTACCTGTTTCAGCATTACCTTTTTTCCTTTCTGTGTCTGGGGAATGAAACATTTTTCAGTAACTAAATAGATGTATTTCTCAGGTCTGCCCACATAAAAATATCCTGCTATACCTTTCTCTTCCAGATTAAGGAGGCTATTATCAAATACTTGTTCCTTATGTACATACTCATAGAAGTTAATTAGTCCCTTCCAGTCATTATAAAGTTAAATTCTTTAATTCCAGAATTCTATTATTCTAAGACATGTATTGGAATCCATTAATCATTCCCTTGGCTCTTCTCTGAACCTTCTGCAATTTAATAACTTCACTCACTAAATATCATATGGATGTAGGATGGTATCATCTGTCGCATTCATGCACAACTTGGATCACAAAACAATTAATTGCAGGGAAGGAACAAAATAACCTGAGAATCTTTAGTTCAGACCCAGCAGAATGTATAATCCCTTTTGAACAGAACGTGTGCTATTACTGGAGTCTGCTGAACACTTTTGACAGGATCTAAGCGGACTAAAAACTCAAGCAAATGGTGATATTTCCAATTCTGCGCCTCAGGCTCAAACAGATAACAGGAAACAGGCCACATTTCCTGTGCCGCCTGCTATGTGTGAGCAGTTTTGGCCTGGAGCAGATGTGCTCCCTGCTATGGATAGGGAAGATAACACACTGTCAGGATCCCTGTCCCTCTTAAAGGCAGTCTGAGAAAGAGAAGAGAGACTAGAGAAATGGGACCTTTACCCAGAGATATAAACAGTGCAAGAAAGGACAATATCACATCTGTACATGGGTCATCACTCACCTAACTGATTCCTCAAATCAGCTGGAAAAAAGAAAAGACTACATCAATAACAACTCCTTTTAAACACTTCCACAGATGTACAGATACTCGGTAACTGAATTACATTGTGCAAAACCCATTTTGACTTTAAGTTAAAAGAGTTCAAGACAACTTGATAACTAGATAGCTGGAATAATTCATGGTAATGATGGTTCAGAGTTTAGGTGATTGAACATCACTAGCAGATATTGGTATAGAATTAGCTTTGGCTCTCCACTGGTGGCTAATGAATGGTTTGGGGACAGACTTGTAGTTGCCAATATGTCAGTGGCTCTGTCCTTCCCCACAGATTCAGACATACAACAGGGAGAAATCCACTATGGGTTAGCAGTGTGGGGAGATGCAATGTGCCTGCCTGGAGCGGCTGCATTCCCTGCTATGGCTGAGGATGAAAATGGACTTCCCTCTCATAGGCAGCCCAGGAGAGGGAGGAGAAACAGCAGAAGTGACCCACTCAGAATATATTCGAGTAATAGGAGTGGAGGGTAATAGCAAGGGTTTACGTAGGTTTTCACTGACCTAAGTCCTTACTCTTCACAGATCTAAGGAAGCCAATACTGACAGCATTTTAAACGTTTCTTCAGTACTTTCACTAGCACCTATTGTTGTGAAATTCAGTGAAATAAGCCATTAAAAGGATTCAAAATCCTGGTAAGTGACGGCAGAGCCTCATGAGACCTTTTTCATAAAGTTAGGGGAGACAGGAATCTTGGGAGCTCTGCAGAGGAGGTGGTACCCAGGCCTGGGGGACACTGTTTTCTGTATGTCCTTTCGGCAGTGTGGGGTGTCTGCATGGCCTCAGCTCTTATAGCTCAGTCACAGCTCTAGCTGTTCTGTCCTCCTGCCCCCAGAGCTCTAACATGCAGCATTTCTCTTCAGTGCATGGAGCGGGCAGCTGTGCCCATGCTCAGACTGCCCTTCATCCTCCCCCTCTCGGGTGCTGTGCAGAGACTAGGGGAGGGCTCATCTCCATGATGCACAGAGACTCCTGGTTTGGCTTCTCTTTTTTGCACTCTCCCAAGGCTGTGTAAATGTGGCCAGGGAAATAGGCATACTCACCAATTTCCTCGTGAAGTTGCTCTGCAAAAATACAATGGAGAGAAGGAGGGAAAAATTCAGTCTCTTCCCATTTCCATGCAAATTGGGGTTATGGAATTCAATCACTTGAATACGAGCATAAGCTGTTTTGTAACTTCTCAGAGCCTCCCTCAGCCATTCGAAAATAGGACTGAAATTTTATGCCTATATGTTTATGTGGATGAAAGAATAGATTCTAATATATTTTTAATTGCCTAGTATCTTCATGTTTACAAATTGTTGCCAAAATGAGTAAATACTAACTCAGACTCCAAAGAGGGAGATGGCCACTATGATCATCTTGTCTGATCTCCCTCGTATCACAGGTGAGAGAAATGCCCTGAAATAGTTCCTGTTTAAACTAGAGCAGATTTTTTAAAGATTCCTCCCTTCTCAATTTTTTGACAAATGCCTGTGGTTACAGCCAGTTCATTACCTGCCATGACAGAAGCAATGAAATGACAGACTAAGTCTAGACTGGCATGATTTTCCGCAAATGCTTTTAACAGAAAAGTTTTTCCATTTAAAACATTTGCGGAAAAGAGCGTCTAGATTGGCACGGACGCTTTTGCACACAAGCGCTTTTATATTTTTGATGGAAACTTCTGTATGGAGAGAAAGAAGGAAAAATTCAATTTCTTCCCATTTCTGTGCAAATTGGGGTTACAGAAAGTAATCTTTCTAGACACAGTCAACTGGTTTGTTAATGTCACAAAGCTTCCCTCAACCATTGGAAAATAGGGTTGAAATCTGATGCACATCTGCATACGTAGGTGCAAGAATAGATTCTTCTATATTTTTATTGGCCTAGTATCTTTATACTGACAAATAGTTGCCAAAATGCGTAAATACTGCCTCCTAGAGCAGATAGTCTACAGTCTCCTCCCTTCCCCATTTTTTGACCAATGCAGGTGGTTACAGTCAGCTCATACCTAATTTACAACGACATCTGCCATGAAAGAAGCAGTGAAATGACACTCATTAGTCAATGTGTGATGGTCCATTTTCAGTTTCAGGAGGAATCATTTCCATACCCACATTCACGAAAATGACGATTGGGGCTTTTGATAGTCTACAGTCTCCTCCCTTCCCCATTTTTTGACCAATGCAGGTGGTTACAGTCAGCTCATACCTAATTTACAACGACATCTGCCATGAAAGAAGCAGTGAAATGACACTCATTAGTCAATGTGTGATGGTCCATTTTCAGTTTCAGGAGGAATCATTTCCATACCCACATTCACGAAAATGACGATTGGGGCTTTTTTGCAGTAAAGAGCATCTAGATTGGCCACGAACGCTTTTCCACAAAAAGTGCTTTTGCAAAAAAGTGTCCTGCCAATCTAGATGCATTTTTCCGAAAATGCTTTTATTGGAGAACTTTTCCGTTAAAAGTATTTCCAGAAAATCATGCCAGTCTAGACGTAGCCTGTGAGACTGCTGTTTTCCCATAGTAAAAGTAATTAGCTCAGGCCTCAACCATAATTGCCTTGTTAACAGATTCATTGATCTTTACCAGTCTCAACAGCATTCAAAACATGGCTATCAGGGCTGGGTGCAATGCCTTTTGAGCTTGAAAACCATTACTATTTCATTTTATAAACAGATAATGGTGTTAAATGTTGTGTCATTACTGTCTGCACTGGACTTCAAGCAGAGGCACTAAATTGCCATGAAATCAAACCAGATTTAGTCAGGAAATAATGCAAAAGTAAGCTGTAAAATAATTTTTTTTTAAAAATCATCTTTCAAATGCATTAGGGTGGACAAGTTAAATCTTACCTAGTTCAGCATGACCTCTTTTCCTCTCTGTATCTGGGGAATAAAACATTTTTCAGTAACTAAATGAGTGTTTTTCTCAGTTCTATCTACACAAAAACATCTTACCATCACCAAACCTAAGAATGACAAATTGTCACGACACACGTTTTCAGTTCATTTACAGCTGATTTTCTAAGCAAAACCACACAATCATTCTTTTTAAATGATCAATAATATATATAATCTGCCATGAAACTTTGTAAACTGATTGTGATGCTTATATTTATGGAAATATATTTTGAATATAAATATACTTAACTTGAGTATGGTTCATGCAAAATAAGACAACCAATCACCTGAACATGTATATTCTGTTTATGTGCGTGTATCATTCTTTTATGAGAAGTTAGGGATATTAAACCCACAAGAAGTCCAGTGGCACCTTATAGACTAACAGATGTTTTGGAGTGTAAGCTTTTGTGGGCAAAGACCCACTTCGTCAGATGCATCAGATTTATTTTTTAGTATGCAAGATGCCACAGGACTTCTCATTGTTTTGGCAGATTCAGACTAACATGGATACCCCTCTTATACTAGGACTACAAACTGGGAATCGATTCTATTAATTCTGGGTATTCTCATGAAGACTTCAGAAGGTTAGCTGAGTTAGTCTGTAACTGACAAAACTTTTAATTTGTAAATGTCTTTGCTTTTCCCATATACTGTGGTTGGCTGTACAAAGACATGTGACCATGCCACCTAGTGCTGGAATCCATCTTAAATGTGATAGGCGCCAACTGAATGATGGCGGATAGGAGGCCCACTTAGCCTTAGCGCAGTTTACTTCTCGCAATAAGTGAGATACATACTTCGACTGCATTGGTAGGAGAAAAAAAATAAAACGTTGAAGTATTTAAAGTTATATCAAAAATAATTTTTTATATATATTTTTTTTATGGCGGAAGGGGCCCACGAAGGCAAAAGTGCCTAGGGCCCACAAAAGTCATAATGTGACCCTGGCCTTCGCAACTTAAGAAAAGTAACATTGTTAGGATGTACTCTGTCCTCCTTCACTGAACACAAGCCATATAAGAATATCCCTGCTACAGCTGGAGAAGTTGGAACACATAGAAGTACCAGAATTTTTGTTATGTAGACTGTAACCATTCAGTAAACTAGTCAAACTCACCCATTTTGTCCTCGAGATCCTCTATAGGAGACAAATGGAGAGAAGGAGAAAAGAGTTCAATATATGTTCATTTAACTACAAACTGAATGAGGCAAATGGAATTACTTCTTTAATTAGTAGTAAAATATGGCCCATGGTTGGTGAGAGACACAGAACCTTCTCTGACTATTGGATCTGTGAGCTTGTCTCATGCCCGCTCCCCCAGATAATGGAAAGACAAGATTTTACCTTTTTAATAAATGTAATAAGAAACTTCATGACCACAAGTAATTATTAAAAGAGGCAAGTATGGCACATGAACCTGCATTAATATGTGGTATCTTCTGTGAAAGGTGCAGTACCACCCATGATATCACAGCCTGTATTCCATTTCCGTATCAGCGCAGAGTCCTTTTAATTGCTCATTACGGATCATTCTTTCTCTCTGTGCAGGAGGGTTTAAGGTTCTTGTGGGATTCAAAATAATAATGGAAAAGTCTATTTAAAGTTCAACAACCTATGAGCATGACTACTGACATTTAGTAAATATTCACCTATGCTGCTAGCAAAGTAAGATTTAGAAACATCTCCAGCAAAAGCAGAAGAAAGGAGCAGTGGCTCATAATGAATCAGCCATTTACTTTTCATTCTTCAAGACACCCACGTCATTAGTGCACCGAAAGGAAAAAAGACACAGACTTACTTATTCTCTTCTCTGCAATTTCTGAAACTGAAAAGGTGTATATTAATAATGACAACAAATTTTATCATAATATAGCCAAATAGGAAGGTAACTAATAATAATTAAAAAGCAATACTGAGAGCTATTATGCCTGATTAGAAAATAGTTGTGAGGGAGCAGATGAGACAATATGTGTCCCACAATCTAATGCCAGAAGAAACCACTGTTATCTATATATATCTTACACATATTTCTGAAAGTTTTTGTTTGTTTATTTGTCCTGAAAGATCTCTAAAATGGTAAGAGCTAGAAACACCAAATTTTGCATGGATAGTATTGGTTCCCCCAGAGTTCCAATTGTCTCACTAATAGTTAACTTTTAGTAGCACCTGATCATAGGCATTTGATAAACTCTTCTGTTAAGCATGTCACATAAATCTTCAACTACGAGATCCCAGAAGATAAAGCACGTAGGCACCTGCAGCACCATCAAAGGCAATCTCATGGGGAAGAGGCTGTAGTGGGGCAGAGAATCAGCAACCTCCCCTGTACTAGAGCACCAGAAGGTCTCCAGGACAGACCCAAACGTGGCTGCTGCGGGCTGGGGTCTAGCCTTGCTAATTGTGGCTGGGAGATGCCTCCAGCTTTCACTGCCTCTCAACATCTTCACACAGCCAGGCTCTGACTGAGCCACTTCTGGAAATTCCAGTTGTTTCCCTCCCCCCACGCCCAAATGAGCCATCCCACCACCCGCTCTCCTTTGGGCTGTGTGCGTTCTCCTGGTAGGGCTGTGTGCATTATCAGCCACGGGCATCATGAACTTTACAGGATTCAGCTCACAGTACAAAGAGAAGACGGGTAGGAGGACACAGTTTTGAGCACCGTGGAGCCTGAGGAGGACACGGTACACTCAGAACAGTCTGTTCTCATTAGAACATGCACGTTCAGGCGCTTCATGTTCTGATCATCTAGATATCACTCATTGCAACTGGTCTGCAGGTGTTTTGCTTTGTCTGATCAATGCAACCGGTCCAGCTGACTCTAGGAAGTCCATTCAGGTTGCCCCATGGAGCATGCACTGAAGGAACTCAGGGATCGGCTACTTGGGGAGCAGTGATTTGCTGCTTCTGCAAAGCCCTGGAGATATCCTCTCCATTTCTCAGAGCTTCTGGCAAGGAAGCTGCAGGCATTGGTTTGCATAGAGTCTTTAAGGGCAGATGGGCCTTCCTGATTTGTGGCAATTGAGAAAAGAGACATTATGGGATTTGTCTTTTTTTAAGCACATCACTAGGTATGTTAATTTCTTAAAGTGATATATCAGAGAAAAGTATTTCCAATAAAATATGCTATGTAAATGTCATTGACGTAGTTCATTCATCACACCTTTTACTATATTTTCCCCGGTCGATGCCATGTATTTCTGCTAGTATATATATAACACTAGTAACTATTAATTAACAGAAGAGGCAAGTATGACACAATGGTGCCGCATGTCTGACTATACATTTGTGAATCTGTCTGTTCAAGGACTCCTTCTAAATGGTAAGAGCTAGGACCACCAAATTCCGTAGGCAGCTTCCTCTTCTCCTAACTTAAAGCAAAGTGAGGGTGTGGTTGTGCTAGGAGAATGGGAAGTGCTGGGAATGGGGCTGCCTCATGATTGCGACAAGGGCAGTGGACCCAGGAGACAGCTATACTGCAAAGTGACCACTGGGGGCAGCAGTGCCAGTGGCCATATGGGGAAGGGGGAGGGAGAACGCTCCCCGCACTCCTCCTTCCTCCAACCTTGGAGGGACTAGCGGGGAAGGAGAAATCCCCAACCCAGTCCAGAAGAGCTAAGGAGGAAGGGAGAAAGCTTTCACACCCTGTCTTTGGAGGGGTCAGGAAGGAGGGAGAAAGCTGACCCCTCCACTCTGGGAGAGGCAGTCCCCTTCCATGAAGATTCTGGTAAGTCTCTAAATCATCTATAATAGGTCCAGGATGAGCTATGAGCACAGTTTGACCTCTTTCGTTATTCCTGAATTGGGGCTTCTTAGACTGTCCTTATAGAATTCACAATTTTCATTCATATTTTATTTAAAAGAATGTTAGAGTCAATTTTATTATAATTTTCCTCCACTTTGAGAAATTAGCCCTTTGGAGTCAAAACTGTAAACATATTTGGTAGAGAATGCTCTCTGTTTTCTCCTTTGGAATCTAATCGTGGGAGGATTATTGTACCCGTGAAACTACAAATACCGTGTTCAGTGATCAATTAATCTTTATCAGTGAGAATAAGGTGCCAAAGAGAGTTATCTTGTGGTGGGTGTAGCATTAGTTAAGAACATGTTAGAAATATTAATGATTCTTTATTAGTATTTGCATTTTACTGCAAGCAAGGAAGTGAAACAGTCAAGAAATCAAAGTAGATTTATTTAAGAAACGGTGGGAATATAATTGTTCTAAAAAAAAAAAAAGACCGCTCTTGCTAATGAAAAAGTACATCTACAGGAAATCTTACCTGCTGGAGAATGGTCTCCTTTCCTTTCTAAGTGTAGAGAAGAAAAAAAATGTTCATTGGCTAAATGTGTGTGCATTTCTCAGGACTATACATGCACATATACATAGATACCTTCCCCTCACTGAATACCACAACCATCGAAGCTCATGGGAAACACACCTTTCGACTTGGAGTGGATGTTTTAGAAAAAAAATCTAATGAATCTTGATTTTAAAATCTTTGTAAAGTCTTCCTATGGCAAATTAACATCAAATGTAAAAATGTATACCTTAAGAACATAAGAACAGCCATATTGGGTCAGACCAAAGGTCCATCTAGCCCAGAATCCTGGCTGCTGACCATGGCCAAGACAAGATGCCCCAGAAGAGTGGGAAACACAACAGGTAATCCTCACATGATTCCTCCCCTGTTACCCATTTCCAGAAAAACAGAGGCTAGGGACATTTTTACCTATCCTGGCTAATAGCCATTGATGGACCGAACTTCCATGATTCTATGCAGCTTTTTTGGAACCCTGTTAAAGTTCTAGCCTTCACCACATCAGTGGAAAGGAGTTTCACAGGTTGACTGTGCACCGAGTGAAGAAAAACTTCCTTGTGTTTGTTTTAAACCAACTGCCTATTAATTCCATTCCCTAGCTCTAATATTGGGGTACAAGCAAATAACTTTTCCTTATTTACTTTTCCACACCAGTCATCATTTTATAGAGCTCTATCATATCCTCCCTTAGTCTCACCTTAAATACAGTGTGAATTTCTCTAGTTTCACTTCCATATATTCCATCAATTTACACCTTTCTCTGCTAGATTGAAGAGTCAATTATAAAATGTTTGTTCCCCTCTGCTGCTTACAAAGCATGATCAAGTAACTTTTCCTCCTGTGCAGCAAGACAGCTAGAGCTCCTGGAGTCTACTACCAGAAGGCATGTTTTCCAATCTTGTAATCATTCTTTTGGCTCTTTTCTGAATGCTCTCCAATTCATCAGTTTACTTCTTCAGTTGGGATACCAAAACGCAACACAGTCATGTAGATATATTACATATTTCTATAGAGGGCAGAAACTGGTGATATTTGGGGAAAATAGCTCATTAAAAGTCCTGACTACCTGCAAAACTTGTTGAGACTGCCCTTTCTCCATATTAAATGTAATTAGGTCAGACTTCAACCATCATTGCTGTCTCCAGTAATTCATTTATTTTTACCAGGCAAAACAGAATCCAAAGCATGTGCTGGGAGCAAAGCCTTTTGAGCTAGGAAATCATCACTTTCATATTTTAAAAACAGAAAATGGTGTTCAATGCTGTGTCATTACAATCTGCACTGGAAACTGGCAAGAAATCACTGCAGATTTACTCAGGAAACACTGAGAAAATAATCTGTAAAATATTTTTTTAAATCCTCTTTCAAATGGATTAGGATGGACAAAGTGAATCTTACCTGGTTCAGCATGACCTCTTTTCCTTTCTATATCTGGGGAATGAAACATTTTTCAGTAACTAAATGGATGTATTTCTCAGATCCACTCACCCAAGAACGTCTGACCATCACCCAACCTAACAATCATGAATGATCATGACACACAAGTTTTCAATGCATTTAGAGCTGACCTTCTATGAAAAACCACAGAATCATGCTTTTTAAATAATCAGGGAGAGACAATCTGCCATGAAACTTTGTAAATTGTTTCAATCACCAATTAATCTCACTGATATAAATATGTATCTTATTTCCAATCTGAGTTTCCTTAGCGTCACTTCCAGCCATTGGAACTTGTTAAAGCTTTCTCTTCCAGTTAAAGGAGGTTATTGTCAAATATTTGTTTCCCAGGTATGTACTCGCAGAGGTGAACCTCTCTCCCTCGGTGATTATTAACTAAAATTCAGTAGCTCCAGATTTCTATAATTACAAAACATATATTGGAATCCATTCATCCATTAATCACTCTCAAGGCTCTTCTCTGAACCTTCTGTAACTTAATAACTTTTTTCACTCAGTATTATATAGGATTGATTTAGGATGGTATCATCTGGCACATTCTTGCACAGCTTGGATCACAAAAGTGTTAATTGCAGGGAATGAAAAATTAACCCGAGAATCTTTAGTTCAGACCCAGCATAATTTATAATCCCTTTTGATCAGAAGTAATGCTAATGTGGGATAATATGGTTCCCAGGTGTTCTGTTTTAATCTGAACAGTCCAGTATTTCAGCTTTCTGATCGGGAAACAAATTGAGAAAATATAAATGAGAAAATACTAATGTCCAGTATTTTCTAAATAAGATGTAATATAGATTGTGATATAATGTCAAGTGTGTCCGGATTTTTTTTTAGTTGAAGCCGTCTGGCAACCCTACAGACTGCTGGACACTTTTGACAGGCTCTAAGAGGACTAAATACTCAAACAGAGGATGATAATTCCAATTCCGGCTCAAACAGGTAACAGGAAACAGGCCACATCTCCCATGCCACCTGCTATGTGTGAGCAGTGTTGGCCTGGTGCACATGTGTTCCCTGCCGTGGGTAGGGAAGATAACACACTGTCAGGATCCCCTCCCCTCTTAAAGGCAGTCTGAGAAAGAGAAGAGAGACCAGAGAAACGGCTCCTTTCCCCAGGGATTTAAGCAAATGGAGAAAGGACAATATCAAGTCTGTACACGTGTTGTCACTTACCTAATACATTCCTTAATTCAGCTGGAAAAAAGAAAAGACTACGTCAATAACGACTGCTTTTAAACACTTCTTCAGTGTTTTCCCCAATACCATGGATGTACAGATATTCGGTAAATGAATTACATTGTGCAAAACCGGTGTTGACTTTAAGTTAAGAAAGAGCAAGACAACTTGTTAACTAGCTATCTGGAAAAAAAGAACAAATGGTCTGGTACCACTTTATAGACAAACCTGAAGAAGTGGGCTGTGCCCATGAAAGCTCACGATACCATCTATGGCTGTGTCTAGATTGGCCAGTTTTTCCGGAAAATCAGCCACTTTTCTGGAAAAACTTGCCAGCTGTCTACACTGGCCGTTTGAATTTCCGCAAAAGCACTGACGATCTCATGTAAGATTGTCAGTGTTCTTGCAGAAATACTATGCTGCTCCCATTTGGGCAAAAGTCCTTTTGCACAAAACTTTTGCGCAAAAGGGCCAGTGTAGAAAGCCCAGATTTGTTTTCCGCAAAAAAGCCCTGATCGCGAAAATGACAATCGGGGCTTTTTTGCAGAAAAGCATCCATGCCAATCTAGACGCTCTTTTCCGCAAATGCTTTTAAGGAAATCTTTTCCGGAAAATCATGACAGTCTAGACGTAGCCTATATGTTCTCTTCATCTATAAAGTGCTATCAGACCATTTGTTGAATTTTTTCTGTAACAGAGTAACTCAGCTACCCTTTCTAGATAGCTGGAATAATTAATGGTAAGGATAGTTCAAGCTTTCAGTGACTGATCATCACTAACAGATATTGGTGTAGAATTTGCTTTGGCTCTCCAATGGCAGCTAATGAAGGGTTTGGGGCAGGATCCATAGCTGCCAACGTAGCAGTGGCTCTGTCCTTCTCCACAGATTCAGCCGTACAACAAGGAAAAGGCCACTATGGGTGAGCAGTGTGGGGAGATGCAGTGTGTCTGCCTGGAGCTGCTGTATTACCAGATAAGGCTAAGGATGAAAATGGACTGTCCGGATCCCCTACTCTCTCAGAGGCAGCCCAGGAGAGGGAGGAGAGACAGCAGAAGCAGCCCCCTTGGAAGTAATATGCGAGGAGGTCATAGCAAGGGTGCACATAGGTCTTCACTGACCTAAATCCTTATTCACCACAGCTGTAAACAAAGACAATTTGGACAGCATTTTAAACGCTGGTTTTTTTCATGCTTTCACTAGCACATATTGCTGTGAAATTCAATGAAATGTGGAATTAAAGGAATTGAAACCCTGGTCAGTGTGGGCAGAGCCTCAAGAGACGTTTTTCATATCGATAGGGAAGAGAGAAATCTTGGGAGCTCTGCAGAAGTTGTGGCTAGCCAGGCCTGGGGGGAAGCACTGTTTTCTTCGCATCCCTGTGGCAGTGTGGGCTGTCTGCATGTGCTCAGTTCCGTCCTCCTGCCTCCGACCGCCAGAGCTCTGTCATGCAGCATTTCTATTCAGTGCATGGAGTGGGCAGCTGTGCCCAGGCTCAGACTGCCCTTCATCTTCTCTCCTCTTGGATGCTGTGCAGAGAGCAGGGGAGGGCTCAGCTCCATGATGCACAGAGGCTCCAGACACTCCTGCTTTGGATCTTCTTCTTTCCACTATCCTCATCTTTGCAGTCTCCTCCCATTTTTGTGCAAACTGGGGTTATGAACTGGGCTGTTTTTAGACATGATAATATATGGTTTGTTAACGTGACAGAGCCTCCGACAGCTATTTGAAAAAAGGACTTAAATTTGATGCACATCTGCTTACACAGACAAAAGAATAGATTCTAGTATATTTTAATAGCTTGTATCTTCATGTTGACAAATAGTTTCCAAAATGGGTAAATACTGACACATAGTCTCCAAGGGGGGAAGGGGCCACTGTTATCAGCTTGTCTGATCTCTTGCAGAACACAGGGGGGGGAGGAATGCCCTGAAATAGTTCCTGTTTGAACTAGAGCAAATAATTTACAGACTCCTCCCTTCTCCATTTTTTGACCAATGTGGGTGGTTACAGCCAGTTCATACCTAATTTACAAGGACATCCACCATGACAGAAGCAATGAAATGACACTCCTTAGTCAATGTGTGATGGCCCATTTTCAGTTTCAGGAGGAATCATTTCCATACCCACATTCCTTTTCTGCCTGCCAGTTAGCTTTACCATAGGCTTGTCTATTCGTGAGTGCTTCTCCACAGTTCTTCAGTGCAGTCACTCTCCCTCCGGTGATGGAAAGTGCTCCCTTGACAATATAGATAATCCATCTGCCAGATGGGCAATAGCTAGGTTGATGTCAGAATATGTCCATGAACCTGGCACCATCTACACCAGAGTTTGGGTTGGCTACACTTCATCATTTGCCATGTGTTTTTTTCACAGCCCTCAGCAAGAGTGCTGAATTGACTTAGATTTTCACTGCAGATATCTTGGGAGGGCTGATATTCTTGGAGACAATTGGACAGCAATGCGGTGAACAGTTTGCCATTGAAACAAACAGTACAACATAGATGTGGCACACAGTCCTGTGTGCTCTTTCCAATCCCACAGAATGTCAACAGAAAAGGGAGTATTTTATCCCTAAATCTTTCCACTTTTTATTGTAAAAGACTTGTGAGCATTTGAAGAATTTCAAGGTAAAAATGCAGTCCTGTGTGCTCTTTCCAATCCCACAGAATGTCAACAGAAAAGGGAGTATTTTATCCCTAAATCTTTCCACTTTTTATTGTAAAAGACTTGTGAGCATTTGAAGAATTTCAAGGTAAAAATGAGAGACTTACCCATTCTCCTTTGCAGGTTTTCTGTGAAAAAACAAAGACATGATTTATATTATTAATGGAAACTTTTGTTATAGAAGAGCTAAGAAGTTATATGATGTGTAAATTGCATTTCCAGGTCTGGATGCAGACACGTCTTGCATCAGCAGAAATGCAATATGCACCTGAAAAGCTGCTTCAAAGAAGTGTGAAAGCAGCGTAGTCTAACAGAAGGGCAGGCGACAATTTTTTATGGGTGTCACAACAAGACTTTGGGAAGTGGTCAGGGACTGCAGTTTTCTCTGATATTAATAGAGGAGGAGCAGGGTCTGGAATGGAGGCAGGGTGCAGAAGGGCGCTTGGACTAAGGGATTGGGGAGAGGGATCTAGGAGGGAGTTTTGGTAAAGGAGAGGGTTGTGAGCTGGAGCAGGACACTGGGTGCAGAAGGAGGTGTAGTGTTGGGAGTAGGTGTGAGTACAGAAGAGGATTCTGTCCTGCACAAGGGCTGTAGAAGGATGTGAAAAGTCTGGGAAAGGATTGTGACATTGGGCTGGAATGCAGGGTTTGGGTTGTGAGTGGGGGTAGTGCACTGGGTTGTGAGGACAGGAGGAGGTTGTGACCTGGAGGACAGGTTCAGGTTATGGAATGGGGTCTGGGTACTGGAGTGGAGCATGACGAGGGTTTGGATTACATGGGCTATAGGTGCAGAAGATGAATTGAGGACGCAGTGAGGGGGATAGAAGCAGGCTCTAGCTGGGAGACTCCTGGCCACCAGGCCTACCTAGCAATTTCCTCAACCAGGCAAAGGCCATGTCCTCTCTGACTGCTGTGAATTCAGAGGGAGGGAGGAGGGTTTCTTTACTGACTGCCTGCCCTGAAAATATGCAGCTCTCTTTGGCCAGAAACTCACCAATGGAACTGAAAGATTGTTCAGGTAGTGGCTACAATGTATAAAGGCCCCTTCCCCTTTGAACTCGCAGTATTCAGATAACTGTTCTGAGTAGTGAGACAGCATGTGATAGGCAGGGATCCGGGCTGAGGGCCCCCACTGAGTCTCCATGTTGGATCAGGTGCTTTGGCAAGTAGGATCTCTTCTGTGGCCTGTATTTCACACCCTCCCCAACCCCTGTCAAAAACCAGATGGTGAATGGGATCCTTTCTGCAGGCAATACTATAAATATGGGACATATAGGGGGCAGAAACAGGTGATATTTGGGGAAAATAGCCCATTGGAAGTCCTGATTATCTGCAAAATTATTGAGACTGCTCTTTCGCCATATTATATGTAATTCAGTCAGTCTTCAACCATCTTTGCCATGTCCACTAATTCATTTTGCTTTACCAGTCAGAACAGCATCCAAAGCATGTATACTCTGAGTTGGGCGCAATGCTTTTGAGCTAGAAAATCATCACTTATATATATTAAGAACAGAAAATGTTGTTAAATGTTGTGTCATTATGGTCTGCATTGGACTTCAAGCAGAGGAATGAAACAGCTGAGAAATCAAGCAGATTTACCTAGGAAACAATGCAAAATTAACCAGTGAATATTTTTTTAAACTGATTCTGTATCAGGGGAATGAAACATTTTCCAGCAATGAAATGGGTGTGTTTCTCAGGTCTACCCCCACAAAAACACCCAGGAGACAGAGGAGAGGCTCCTCAGCAAATAGCCAGGTAACAGGTGTGGAGGACCATAGCATGGGTGCACATATGTCTTCACTGACCTAAGTCCTTAGTCATCACAGCTTTAAACAAAGCCAATACTGACAGCATTTTAAACCTTTCTTCAGTATTTTCACCAGCACATATTGCTGGGAAATTCAATGCAATTTGGTATTAAAGGAATTTGAAACCCTGGTCAGTGCCAGCAGAGCCTCATGAGACATTTCTCATATGAGTGGGGGAAGAGATGAATCTTGGGATCTCTGCAGAGGAGGTGGCCATCCAGGCCTGGGAGGCGGGGTGGGAGAGACACTGTTTTTTCTGTGTCCCTGTAGCAGTGTGGGGTGTCTGCATGGCCTCAGCTGTTTTAGCTTGGGCACAGCTCTATCAATTCTGTCCTCCTGTACCCTGCCCCCAGAGCTCTGTCATGCAGCATTTCTATTCAGTGCATGGAGCGGCAGCTGTGCCCAGGCTCAGACTGCCCTTCATTCTCTCCCCCCTCAGATACTGTGCAGAGAGCAGGGGAATGCTCAGCTCCATGATGCACAGGGGCTCCAGAGACTCCTGCTTTGGATCCTCTTCTTTGCACTCTCCCGGGGCTGTGTAAATGTGGCCAGAGAACTAGACATGCTCACCCATTTCCTCTTCATGTTGCTCTGCAAAAATACAATGGAGAGAAGGAAGGAAAAATTCAATCTCTTTCCATTTCTGTGCGCCGGCTGTGCAGTTTGTAATCTACTTGCCACGGGCGAATAGATTACATAAATTGTCGAGCCCTGCTTATGTAGATGAAAGAATAGAGTCTAGTATATTTATAATGGCTTAGTATCTACATGTTGACAAATAGTTGCCAAAATAGGTAAACACTGCCTCATAGTCTCCAAGGGTATGTCTACACTACCCCACTAGTTCGAACTAGGGGGGTAATGTAGTCATTTGGAGTTGCAAATGAAGCCCGGGAAATTCAAATCCCAGGCTTCGTTTGCAACTCCGAATGACTACATTACCCCCCTGGTTCGAACTAGGGGGGTAATGTAGTCATTTGGAGTTGCAAATGAAGCCCGGGAAATTCAAATCCCAGGCTTCGTTTGCAACTCCGAATGACTACATTACCCCCCTGGTTCGAACTAGGGGGGTAATGTAGTCATTTGGAGTTGCAAATGAAGCCCGGGAAATTCAAATCCCAGGCTTCGTTTGCAACTCCGAATGACTACATTACCCCCCTGGTTCGAACTAGGGGGGTAATGTAGTCATTTGGAGTTGCAAATGAAGCCCGGGAAATTCAAATCCCAGGCTTCGTTTGCAACTCCGAATGACTACATTACCCCCCTGGTTCGAACTAGGGGGGTAATGTAGTCATTTGGAGTTGCAAATGAAGCCCGGGAAATTCAAATCCCAGGCTTCGTTTGCAACTCCGAATGACTACATTACCCCCCTGGTTCGAACTAGGGGGGTAGTGTAGACATACCCCAAGGGGTTAAGGGGCCACCATCATGGTCTCCTCTAATCTCCTGCAGAACACAGGTGAGAGGAATGCCTCAAATAGCTCCTATTTGAACTAGAGCAGATAGTTTAGAGACTCCTCCCTTCTCCATTTTTTGACCAATGCTGGTGGTTACAGCCAGTTCATACCTAATTTACAAGGACATCTGCCATGTCAGAAGCAATGAAATTAAACTTTTTAGTAAATGTGTGATGGTCCATTTTCAGTTTCAGAAGGAATCATTTCCATACCCGCATTCCCTTCCTGCCTGCCTGTTAGTTTTACCGCAGGCTTGTCTATTCATGAGCATTTTTCTACAGCTCTTCAGTGCAGTCACTCTCCTTTCAGTGGTGGAAAGTGCTCTCTAGACAATATAGATCAGTGGTCACCAACCAGTAGATCGGGATCGACTGGTAGATCTTGGAGCCTCTGACAGGTGATCTTAACTGGTTTGTCCAAGAAGCTGTCAAGGGCTGGCACTTCCTCTGCCCCTCCCTCCACTGCTGTACATCTCCTGCCCTTTCCCTTGGAGCTGTTTCCCTCTCCACCTTGTATTCTATTGCCTTAGAACAGGGGAGAGGGCCCAACAGAGTTTGGGATGGAGGAAGTGGCTGGCTGCTTTTGGGAGTGTACAGGGCCAGAGTAGGGGTGAGCCTGCCATAGTCCCTTCTGGAACCTGCATCCTGAATCCTTGCCCCAGTCATGAATTCCCTCCTACAGACCAAGCACCTGCCCTAGTCCAGAGTCCCCCAAGACTTTGACTCCCTTAGGGTATGTCTACACTACCCTCCTAATTCAAACTAGGAGGGTAATGTAGGCATACCGCACTTGCAAATGAAGCCCGGGATTTGAATTTCCCGGGCTTCATTTGCATAAAGCCGGCCGGCGCCATTTTTAAATGCCGGCAGTTCGAACCCC